GCGCCTTCGCTAAGCGAGGGCAGGGCGCGAAAACGGCTGCCGGCAGCCATTTCCGGGCTTCCGGTGGTCATTTTGGAACCGCCGATCAGCTGTTCGGCGGCTCCAAAATGGCCGCCGCAATACCCGATCTTCGCAATGCGGGTTTTCCCCATGGCGAAGATCGGGGATGTTTCCATATAGCGATCCCGAAAAAGGGATCGCTATACGGAAACATCGCTATACGGTGCACTCGTTAAGCGAGGCACCACTGTATTTACTTTCTGGAAGAAGAATTGTTCTCCTAACGATTACCTGTTCCTTTACAGGACTGTGCAGCTTTTCTGAGTCTACCATGATGTAATAATGAAAACAGGCAAAAATGAGTATTTCTTTATTTGAAAACAGCCAAACGGTTTTATTTTCTCAGAAAAATTAATCCACAATAATGAGAAATGATCTGTTCCTACACATCTTTTTAAGGATTTTCCAATACATAGCTTTATCTCTTTTTATTTAAAAAAAAAGCACATTTCATGTATCAACTGTATTAAATGAACATTAATATTTCTTTTTTATCACAGACTCTTTCCAAGCATATCATGTATATCAGCCATTCTCAATCTTTTTTTGGCCAAGACCCTGAATACAATATGAAAGAAATGTAAGCCGAATCAGGATTGTGTGAGTCATATAAGAAACCTTGTAAGTTGGTGTGAAGAACGGTTTCTGGCCTGTGGTCTCCTTCAAATTTGCCAGGGTCCTCCAGAGAGCCATATGGCCCTCGCTGAGAACAGATGATACACATGAATCTCCCTAATATCTTGAGCAACCTGGACAGGTAGGTTAAACCAGAAGGATTCTACTTGCAAAGTTAATCCTGAAAGCTTCATGGCCATATGGGATTTGGTCCCACTTATTTCTAACTGCAAGTCAACATTTTATCCATTACATGATACTGGCTCTCGAGGTACTAGGTTCATAGCTCTATCTGTGCAATTTATACAGCTGTCAACGATTGACAGATTAGCAACAATGGTTTAAAAAAAGGGCAGTACTTAATTTGGTGACATCATTACCTCCCGCAACAATGGGAAGCAGGGGAGCAGCAGTGCATAGAAAAGGCAAAGAGGAGTATAGTGGTGCGACTTACGAACGTCCTGACTTACGACCATTTGAAGTTATAACCAGCTCCGGCTGCAAAATTTTGCTTCAACTTTTTTCGGCCCCAATGCGCTCTGATGGGGCTCGCTCTGTTTGTGTGCATTTTTTGTGATTTTTTTCCTTGTTTTTTTTTGTGATCTGTCCCCCAGCCCCAACACATTCTGATGGGGCTTTCATTGTTATGTTTGTTTGTTTTTGGTGATTTTTTTCCTGGCCCCAATGTGTTCCGATGGGGCTTGCAGTGGTTTTGTTTTTTTGTGTGTTTTTTCTGTGATCCCCTGCCCGGCTGGAACGGATTAATGGGGTTTCAATGTATTCCTATGGGAAATGGTGCTTTGACTTACGTCTCTTTTGAGTTACAATCATCATTCTGGAACACACAGTGGTGCCTCGCTTAACGAGCGCACCGTATAACGACGAAATCGCATAGCGATGCGGTTTCCGCGATCGCTAATGCGATCGCTTACCGATGGCCCCAATGGGCGAAACTCGCATAGCGAAGGTCGGTAAGCGTTTCGCTTACCGACCTTCACTTTGCGACCCACAGATCAGCTGTTTGGCGGGTCCAACATGGCCGCCGCAACAGCCGAAATGGCCGCGTGCAGCGTTTTCGCGTCCTCCCCTCACTTACCGAGGGCGCGAAAATGGCTGCCGGCTATGGGAAGACTTCGCTAAACGGTGAGTTTTCAGCCGATTTGGCTTTTTACTTTCCAATGGCTTTTTACTTTACGTTTAACCAAGTTTTCACATAGCGAAGGTTAATCCGGAACGGATTAACCTCGCTATGCGAGGCACCACTGTATTAAGTTCGTAAGTCGAGGCACCACTGTAATTTGACAGAGATACATTTACGAATGAAGGGTTTCTGTTTGCAGGCTTTGCTTTTAATCAATGCCTATCAAACCAACAGTACTCTGCATTTAAGTCCTTTTCAAAGGCATCCCCAAACTGCAATTGTAATAACGTTACACTAAGTCACTGAAAAAAATGTTCTTCCTTATCTATGGCTGGAACAGCATTTCCTGCAGTTTATCATAGCTAAGTAACTTTTCTCCTGTTTTAAAACTAAAACTATACTTCCATTTATCACATTTCTAAAGGGTTGTTTTCAAGAGGGGCCCATTACCCCTATGCAATTTGGATATGATTCTGACTAGACAAGCAGAACCAGACTGGTGACTCATGCAAATACAACAGGAAGGGGATTAAACGTTCCAATCACTTTTTACGCAAAAAGGAGCAAAACTACCCATCTGTTGGGAAAAAGAATTAAGTAGCAAGCTAAGACAGCAATTCATGCAGTCATGCAAAGGAATGATAAATGGGGCAGCCAGGACACACTTATTTTGCTCTACAGCAAAACACCAGTCCTTCTGGTGTACATCAGTCTGCTGCAGCACAGAGAGTGGAAATTACTAAGCTAAAAGTAGTATTAGTTTCAGAATTTATACATATTTATGCCTTTTCACAATTATAATAAAGTTAGTGAATTTCAGAGATAAATAATAATACGGAATTAGGAAAAACAGAGCTCTCTGTAAAATATGTGCAAAAAGTGTTAAATATGTCCTGAAGTGGCTTCTGCTTAAAACATTTTCGGCAGTCTTTCTCATGGTCTACAATAACTTTAATCTTTTTCAGACCTGTGATCCAATCTATACACTAGAACCCCTTTTAATTACTATATATGTCTTCCTGTTTATTTCACTCCTTTCCCCCTTCCTTTTTATATCACTTTCCATGTGCTGTCGTCATTTTTCTGCCTTACCTTCTCTTTAGAGAGAGAAAAATTTATTATGTATTAGAAAATTGTAGTTTTTCTGGTAACACTCTCCTTAACCTGGCCTGCAACCCATTTTGGGTGCCAGGTTACTAGTTAGATTAGCAGTCCAACAGAGTTAGGTAAACAGTAATTCCCACCACAACCTCCCTCAGCAAATGGAAACACTTAAGGTTTCTTTCAAAGGATATCAGAATGTGTATGTGCATCAATTAGTGTTTTGTAATAGATATAAAGATTGTGTAGGGAACTCACTTGATCATCTTCCTCTTCAATATCATCGCGTATACCCCTGGAAAAATAAGCAGAGAAACAAAACTTCCCTGCAAATGTTCCACATACCCAGCTCTACAAATTCAACCTGAAAACTACCAATATAATTCAACAATGACAACATTCAGTAGCAACACAAAAACCATCTTACACCAATTCCAACCCACCAGAACTTGCCCATAACTTAATTCGTTTCAGATTTACTAAACACAAAAGACATTAACAGGTCAGAGCTGAAGAGGACCAGGGGGCCAGTTTAGTTCCCTGCTGAAAAGAAAAGTAATTTAAACACCAGCCCACACAAACTAATCCTCATAATTCAATTCATAGCCTTTAGAAAAGTTCAGAGTGAGCTAAATACGCTCATAGGATAAATTTTAAAAATATGATTCCAGCAGGAATAGTGCAAGACAATCCCACAAGTTCATATTCCTGTTAATCTCTCACTTGTTTTAACAGAGCTGTTAATGTATACACTTACTTTGTATTTTTTCTTTCCTTGTCTTTATCCTCCAGTCTCTTCATGTCTCTAGCAGCTTGATCCTAAATAATCACAAAATAAACTTAATACACCAGTTTCCTCCCAATGTATAATACTAGAGCTAACAGTTCTACATACAAACAAACAAATTGCACATTCATACCATATAATTCAAGAAACATTTAAATTTCAAACAAAAATTCTGAATCAAAAAATTCAATTAAGTAGTAGAAATCTGAACCTCATCTAGAAGGCGGCTAAGGAACCTGTGGCCCTGAAGATGCTGATAAATGACTACTTCCATCACTTCTCGCTACTGCTCAGGCTGGCTGATACAGATAGGAGCTAGAGTTTAACAACATATGGGGAGACACTGGTTCCCCATTCCTACTTATGAGTTCCATACCTGTGTTGAGACTGATGGGCAGGACCTGGTGTTTCCCAAACTGAACTAAGTACACAAGGCAGAACCTTCTCTATGGTGGCACTGCTATTACGGACTTTGCTTGACCAGAAGGACATGCTTCTACTACTTTAGAATAATTAATTTAGTCCTCCAAATGGTGCTAACTGCTGCTGCTCTTCATTTTGGTTTTTATCCCATTTTGCATATTATTTTACTTCTTACAATTTTATGGATTGTTTATTAACTTGCTGTTAAAGCACCTTGTGCCATTCAAAATAAGATGATGATTAAAATGTTTTAGAACAAGTCAGGTTTTATTTTTGTCTCTTCTCCTCAACAAATCATATTTCACCTCCACTTCTGCCATGAATGCCTCCAATGGATCATCTTCACTGTCTGAGTCAGGTGGCTTGGAATGGAACTGCTGCCGAGTAGGAGAGTTCTCAGCAGGAATATATGGTAAGTCAACGTTATTGGAATCTTCTTCCTCATCCTCAAAGTAGCTGACAGATAAAGCAAAAAAGAAAGGGGACATGTGATGAACGGCATCAATTCACAGTCAGGTCCATAATGAAAGGAAAACTGTTCTCCCACATTACTACAATTATGCAATAACTTATTAATATTGATTCCAAAGTATTTTTAAATATATCGATCAGAACAAATTAGAATCTTAAAAATCTAGTAATAGTTTTTCTATTTCAGAACTGCAAAACAGGGGATGAGGTAATCAAATCTCAATCACATGTGAAATGCAGTTTTCTTTGAGACAACCAGAACTATACACAGTCCCAACTATCACTGATCTAGAGCAGACTGATTAGGTATCCTTCAGTCTCGAGAGACTATGGTAACATGCTCTGAATGGAGAACTTGGAACAATGTCTAGTGTGGCTGAGGAGGCCAATTTGAGAGTGACAGTCCCACACTGAAGACAAATACAATATGTCCCCTGTGCAGCTCCCTGATTTTGCTGGGTTCCGGACTGCCTCTTTGCCTCGGCCTGATGGACAAGGGTCTCTTCAAATTGGGAAGAGGCCATGATGCACCGCTTGCCTTCAGGCTGAACACTCAGCTGTCAAGGTTTCCCATCTGTTGAGGTCCATTCCTAAGGCCTTCAGATCCCACTTGCAGATATCCTTGTATCGCATCTGTGGTCTCCGTCTGGGGCACTTTCCTTGCACTAATTCTCCATACAGGAGATCTTTTGGAACCCAAACATCAGCTATTCTTACGACATGCCCAAACCAACGTAGATGTTGCTGTTTCAGTAATGTATACATGCTAACAATTCCAGTTTGTTCTAGGACTACTCTATTTGGAACTTTGTCCTGCCAGGTGATATCAAAAATGCGTCAGAGACAACACATATAGAACATGTTCAGCTTCCTCTCCTGCCATGCATGAAGGATCCAGGACTTGCTGCAGTACAGGAGTGTAGTCAGGACACAGGCTCTATAGACCTGGATCTTGGTATGTGTCATCAGCTTGTTATTAAGCCATATTCTTGAGAACATGGTAGCTGCTTTGCCTATGTGTTTATCATTAGAATAGATACGAATGCACAAACATGTCTGCCATGGAACCAGAAGAGAAAACCAAGGGTTTCAAGAATGGCAAAAGATACAAAATTATTCCAGTCACAGATAAGCGATATGCTGTTATTACTGTAGTTCCTTAACTTGCAAAAATACATATACAAGCAATTTCAGAATTGGAGTATAAGAAAAAATAAGCAATACAATAGCAGCAAGATACTAATAAGTACAACTATTACTGAATATATGTAAAAAGAATATGTTTCAATCCAAGTCTTCTTTAGATATTCCAGTACATAAGGCAATTTCAGTGTATACTGCCTAAGAAATCTTTCTTAGTGGGTGCAGGTAACTACCTGCAGAAGTCTTTGGAAAGGGTCTATCACCAATATAGCCTTTTCATTAGACAAGCAATCAGAAGTTCAATGCATGGAACATACATGATGTATAAAAAACTTTCCGGAATCATCAGATTCAAACTTTGCTCATTAAACTCTTTTGCCAAATTTTTCACAATATGTACTAAACTGGTTTTTAGTTTGCTGAAATCTTAAAATATTTGTATGCCTAAGAACTATAAAGTGGGAAAAATAGCTTAGGGATACATTTATATGGGCTGGATGCAGCTTAAGTTAAACCAGGGTCCATTTGGAATGGAAGAATCTGGAGAAGAAAATCAGTGGGGGCACTCTGTTGCTTCATGTATTGCATGGGTTTATGACTAGGCACTTTTTATTTCTATGTTCTTAAAAAAAATCCAATGTATCTAACAGTTACAACACCCTTTGAAGCTCTTCATTTCCTATATTATGAATTAAGAGTACCGTTTGTCTTAAGAAGATGAACTTTCGTGGAAATTTTGGGAACAACATGTACAACAAAAATGGGCAACTTACGCATTTTCCTCATCAAAGTTTGCTCGCTTTGATCCAATTTTGTAAAAAGAAGGCAGCTGAGGTGGCGGCGTCTTCCCAAATCCAGTTGAAGAACCAGTGGCTCCAAAAGCACTATGAGACTGCTGAGGAAGTTTTGGCTCTTCTTTCTTCCCAGTTGATATTGAGAAGCCACCAAATCCAAAGCCTCTCTTGGTACCTGGGCCACCTTTGTTCCAATTCATGGTGTTGGTGACAGGTCTAACAAAAACAAAACATTCACTTGTACTGAAGTTTGCTTTATATTAAGTATGAAATCTCTTCCATGTTTCAAAGATATATCATATAGCGCTCATGCAACTAACACTTCATAGTCAAAACAGAATTAGAAAACAGTCTGATTTTAGAAAAATAAGCTAATTCCAACATCAATATTTGGTACAAAATTCAGAAACTGTCCCTGTTAAGGGACTATTTTGCAGCTGATTTTTTTTTTAAAAAAGGTTCTATCATAATAGAATCATAAAGAAAAGCAGCAACTTAAAAGCCTAAACAGACAGTGGAATAAAATCTTACGTGGGGGGCAGTTCTTCTTTTTGTTAGCTTCAGTATTTTTATAAGTCTTTTTGTACTGCTAGGCAGTAACAAAAGAGGTGTTTTTTTTCTTGGCTTCCCTGCTGACTGTTCCTCATTCTTACTTCCATTCTTACTGATTTCAATAGAAGGATGCACAGACACGCAGCTAAACAGACATTATGTAATTCCAAACCCATTCAGTTATCTGTAATGTAATCAACTGCATTCTCCTTAAAATCAATAAAATCGTGGCAATTTTGAGGCAACCTATAATTATTAAGACATAATAATTTCTTTATTATATATTTCTTTCAGCTGTCAGCAGGATTTTTCTTCTTAAGGGTTGGAACCATAAGTCCAACATTGAGAAAGATTTTTGCCTGCTTAGTCCCAGCATATTAAGTCCTCTTACTTGTCCTAGTTTCCAATGTGGCTAACATTTGACTTTGTTCTCAATTTCATTCTGAAACATACTGAAATGTAACTGAACTAGTTGATTACATTGGCATGTGCAGTCATGAAAACACTTGTGCATAAAAGTTGCAATGATGTAACCCCCCCAGGAAAGCTGAGTGGGGATGGGTGAGCAGTGAATGGTTTGAAGAAAAGAATGAGGTATCTTGCTTTTCTGCAGACATACAGAAAATGAACAGAAGTCTCACCAGGATGAAGAAAATAAAATTGTGAAAAATTTAGTCTGTAATGTCTATATAATATTCATTTCCATAATCACTTCAGTTTCCATTTACCACATGTTCTTCTTACTTATTTGCTTCCAAATCTGAAACATCGATCATTACTATCTGATGGGGTGGATTTGATGTGGATCAAATTGTTTTAAATCACAATTTAAATTAAAAAAATTTTGCCTACATAAATTAAAAATCATTTTCATTTAAAACAAGATTTAAACTGTGATTTAAATAGATTTAATTTTTTTTAAAAAATCATTGATTTTATCCACCCTTCTGTCTGAAATCAGAAAACAATTTTATGTATTACATCTGTATCCTATTCGTTCTCCAAAAACATAAGGGCAGCAAACAGAGATCATGCATTCCTCAACTCTCCAAATGAACTTCTAAGATCATAAATATGTATCCTGTTGTGATCAGATCCACCTGATATTTATTTATTTATTTGATATATATCCCGCCCATCTGGTATATTTATACCACTCTTTATTATGTGCTCTAAAAAATTGGCTGTGAAACTTAAACATTATATTCTACTGTACTTTATTTATACAATTTAAGAAAATCCCCAAACAAACAATTTCTATTCACCCTTAGAGATATTAAATTCAATGGCAACCTGTTGGTGACATAAGTTGTTCTATACTATGTCTGCTGTATGAAAAATCCTTGCTTGAGGTATATGGATGAGTGAATTATTTCCCTAGTGACTTTCAACCCTTTACTTCTTTGAAATATTACTCTTGAACTCCCAAATGCAATCAATGAAGAAAACCATAGCAACATATGTACAAACACTACATGTATACCTTTGGCAACTCCACTCAAGTCCCACCTGAACCACAAAGGATTAAAATTCATGTGGTTACTCAGAAAAGAACCTTGCTGAATTAAGAGCTTACATCCATCTAAATTTTCACAAGACTGGACCCACAGTCTCATAATTAAATATACAGTACACGACAGCCTTTTTTTTGTCACCTCACTGCATTTCAAATGCCTCTTACTCTGGAAATCGGTAAGCCCACTAGCAGGACCTCAAAATTCGCCATTTAAAAAGAGTATAGACGGAAAAAAATGTAAACAAGAAGCAAGAAATAAAAAGGAAATCGAGGTCTCTAGGGACTCTGCATTCCCGCTTCCCAACGTTAACCGAACGTCTGAATGCCAAGCACGTCACCCACCTTTCCAAGGGCCAGCGGGGGTGTCGGCAGACCCAGAGGCGTGGTTACCTAGTGGAGGGAGCAAGAGAGAAAAGGATCAAGTCCAAAGGCTTCCGTGGCCCCGGTAGGCCTCAGCCCCGCCCCCTCGTCTTCCTGCCTACCCAACAAACCCAAAGGGCTGCGACCGCCACTCTAATCTTGTCTCCTGTTCCTTTTGCGGGGCGGTGGCGGCTTCTTACCCCCCCCCTTCCCAGGTATTTCGCCTACAAGCCGCTGCCTCCGTCCTCCCTTCGCACCTTCCCTCGGTTATTCGGGAGAAGAAACGGCGGCGCGACGCTGGTGGCTGAGGCGACCGTGACGCGATGACGCCACCGCGCACGGCAGGTCGTGCATCTTACGCACGAAAGAGGGCCTTTCCTTCTACAGCGCGCTTAGCGGTGACGTCATACAAAGCGACGAACGGTCTGCTCAAACAATGGTTTAGCATTAGATGGACGTGATATGAATGTAAGAAATAAATACATAAAATAATATAAATGCTTTGGCTGCATTGGTTCCAGTCACTTTCTTGCTGTGTATGACACAGAAATCCCAAATCAAACAGACGTGAAAATGATGAAGATGTAAACAGTTATAAAAATGAAAACAACTTCTAAGGAAAGGGGGACGGTCTTCCTCTTAGGTTTATAAACTCAATTCTTTGTATACCTTCGTCGCTTTGTATGACGTCACCGCTAAGCGCGCTGTAGAAGGAAAGGCCCTCTTTCGTGCGTAAGATGCACGACCTGCCGTGCGCGGTGGCGTCATCGCGTCACGGTCGCCTCAGCCACCAGCGTCGCGCCGCCGTTTCTTCTCCCGAATAACCGAGGGAAGGTGCGAAGGGAGGAGGGAGGCAGCGCCCTTGGGGTTTGTTGGGTAGGCAGGAAGACGAGGGGGCGGGGCTGAGGCCTACCGGGGCCACGGAAGCCTTTGGACTTGATCCTTTTCTCTCTTGCTCCCTCCACTAGGTAACCACGCCTCTGGGTCTGCCGACACCCCCGCTGGCCCTTGGAAAGGTGGGTGACTGAAATCTAAAGACTTGTATGTCTTACACATATGTATGTATACGGAATGTGTGTTTTACATTGTAAAACTCGTGCAGCACACATCGTACATGCTTAAAGATGGATTTCTGAACATGTGCAAACTACTTTTCTCATACTGAAAAACCACCATGGCTGTCCTCTCTCACGTCTGCTTCTGAGGACATGTGGACCAAACTGGATGTCCTACCCTCTCTTAATTGGATATTTATTTATTTATTTATTTTATTTATTTAATTTATATCCCGCCTATCTGAATCACATAGGATCACTCTAGGTGACTGCATAACCTTCAAATTTAGCATCCTCTCCACTTCCAAGAGTGGTGACTCTACGAAATTTGCCCCAGTCCTGCCTTGCTCTGCCTCTCACCTTTCCTGGGGCTGTGACGGCAACGCGCATGTGCCCGTTACGCAGTTTGCATACCTTACAGGGAAGGAGGAAGGACAAGGTGAAAGGAAACGCACGAGCATTAACTTTCTTGAGGGAAGCAACATGGGCCTCACTGGCAGGTAGCAAAGGAAGCAGTGCGTCAGAGAGATTTAAAGGGTAGGACATGGAGCTGGTGGAGTTAAATCATGGCCTAAGGAGTAATTGTATTCCTCTGTCCCATCGAAGCAGACAGTAGAGTCGTGGGGGGGAAGAGGTTCATGCAAACTGAAACACCCCCACCGCAGCCCCAGGAAGGCATGGAGATCCTACGCTCTCTCTGTATTACTGTCCACTTTGAAATCTGGAGACAGGATTAGGGAATGGGTGGGAATAAGAATCTACATGGGCTTTCTTGTTAAGGAGAGAGATAGATGAACTTGTGGTCCTCCATATGGTTGTTGGACTCCAGTTCGCAACAGGCTGCTCACTATGGCTGGGCCGACCATTCGAACTGTAGTCCAACAATGCCTGGAGGGGCACAAGTTGCCTGCTGCCTCCTTAAGGCATATGAGAGACTAATCTTTTCAGGCCTTTGGCTAGTCCTGAATGGGTGAGGACCGAAATCTATAAAAATGCCCAATCCCATTCACCCCCGTTTATTCGTGAAGGAAGTGCGATTGGATTAACATGGATTCTTCAACCCCAACCTGAGGCTGGTGAGAATGACTTCCACAATTTTAGATGCCTCTTGAGTATATATATCAGTTATAAGAACTCAGAGGCTGACTAACGGGGCTGTTCAACCTGCCCCCAAAGCATTCCTACCTGCAGTTTTCTAGATTCTGTCAACAGGCATCTGCTTTTCTGGTGTAGGTAGTTTGGGATCAGTTCCACTTCTGTGATTGCTCCAAGTGATCCAAAGCAGGCCTTCCTGTTTCAATTTGCCACTATCTTGAAGAGGCTTAATAAGCAAGCCACTTTAGGATATTGGCAATGAATAATTTCCCCTGCTCTGGCTCCTCTCTTCCTCCTCTGCCTACACACTGAGATTTCATCAGTAACACTTTTCATTTCAGGGTACTGATAAAATAAACGGAGAAACAGTTTAAAAGAAGAATTGGAAGACAAGCCTTTAAAGCTGTGGTAAGAGTGCTGTACTGTATATATTAACTGGTCAAAGGTATTGTGTGGCATGGTGATGGGTGTAGTGCACTTTGCTGTTTAAATATGGAATTATCATAGGATGCTGTCCTCCTCTGTGAGAGCCCGTGTTGTATAATGGGTAGAGTTTTGGGCTAGGACTTGGAAGGCCTGGATTCAAATCCCCACTCAGCCATGGAAACTCACTGGGGTGTGGCAGTGGTATACCACTCCTTGAATAGTTCACATAACTTGAAAAGCTTATTGGGTTGACATAAGTACCAAACAACTTGATAACACAAGAATACCAGCATAGTAAAACTTTCTTGGTTTGAGATGGAGGTCAGTGAAGAAGTTGTAAAGCAAATGAGTAAAACGCATAACTTGTAAAACACACAAAATGCAGAAAGCTATAATAATTTGGTAATGTAATGTGAATGGAAAGTACACATTGCTGTAGCTAATCTAAGGTAAGCTAAATGAGAAAAGAAGTGGAAGGAGGAAAAGAAGTTACTGACTGAAAAGTATCAGAGGTTGGCTTGGATGAGACATCACAATTTAGAGTTGCTGCATCCAAATTCAGATTAGCTATTATGATGTCCAACCTCCAGTAGAATAAGAAGAGGTGAAGAGAAAGGAGAGAGTGATAGTGTCAAGATGGGGAAATATACTGGTTGTATGTCAGGGTAGAAGAAAATTGTTGAATTTTTGTTTCTGACATTGTAAAAGTCAAAGACTCCATGTAGCCAAGTGTGTGAGATATTATAGCCCTGAATGGTGACATTGCTAGAAGCTAAGTATTAAATCTTTGGTGTACTGTACTTAGAAATTTGATACAAGCTTCTCAGAATTTGACATTGCTGTTCTTTCCTGGACACAGCTTAGGTTTGCTGTTACAGTATTTATGTAGTGCAACTTAATGTGGATCAGATACCTGCTCAGGTTCATTAACAACTGGTTTTATTTAGTGTTGGAATTAAAGAATGAGATTTATATGGGTAATTTCCTGGTGTGCACTTACTGTTAGGCGGCAAGTTAAATTTGTGGATGGAACCAGGATAGTGGGGAGAGTGTTATTCATCTTAATTGGCATGAAAGAACCCAGTCCAGTATTCCTTGCAAAATCAGGCGTGGATAGACTAGAGGGGACCTCTTTCATGAGCACTTACAAGTGCTTTTTACAAGAATGGAGTAGTTTGCTAATGAAGCCACTGTGGTGGCTCAGGATAACAAATTGCCCACTGTTCCTTCACTTTTCATACCCTACAGATAAGCTGGTAAGCTGGAATGATGCAGTGCCTAGAGTGCTGGATGAGGGAGAGCTGTATTTAAATCATGCTTGGCCACGAGGCTTACTGAGTGACATTGAGCCTATCCTTCCTTCTTGGCCTAATTTTTAGGTCATTAGACTAAAATGAGTAGGTGGAGGAAGACTCATGAGTTACTGAAAGGGAAAATGGGGAACAAAGTGGGAGGATCAACAATAAAATGTATATCTTTATTTATTTAGTTATTTAAATTTTATTTATTTAAGCTATTTTTAACCCACTTTTCTCCTTTAAAAAGACCCAACGTGGCTTACAACAGTTAAAAGACAGCATTTAAGCTAGTAACAATGAACATACAATAATAAAAGGGTCAATTAATATAATACCAAAAAAAATCATAAGCAACACCAAAACATTCAATGCAGTAAGGTACAACAATCCATTTTAAAAAACCCACTCAGGAGCCATTCGCTAAGGCAGGGCTGGGCAAGTAATTTCTATTGGTGGGGGGGCACTGAAAAATCTGAACTGTGTTCAGAGGCCAAACCAACTTTGCTTAAAAATAAAATGAAACAGTGATGTTAAGATTGTTTTTATTTTAAACTTGTTAATCTTCACAAATACTAAAAAGGTTTTTTGCGGTATGTTAAAGATAAGCAACTGATCAACTTTAGGCAAAAAGCTATAGATGGTTTTGATGTCTGGTGGGCCGGACAGGAGTGGCCCTCAGGCCACATTTTGCCTAGGTCTGCACTAAGGGAAAGCTTACCTGAAGAGAAAGATCTTTGCCTGCTTGTGGAAGGAAAGGAAAGATGGAGCCAGTCTGGCCCCCTGTGGGAAGGAGTTCCAAAGTCTGGGAGCAGCAACAGAGAAGGCCTTCTACCATGTCTGAGTTAATCAGTGACATTTACTGATTGTTGAAATATAGATGCTCATCATTGATTGTGTATATGCCAAGAAGAGTTGTAAATGAAAACACGTTTTGATCCTTATCTATAATTATATGTTGATATTATCCATGTGTATGTGTAGTTGTACACAGTGGTAGAACTGAGTTTATTATGATCAAGTGATTTATAGAATAGTGAGCAGTGAAAAGACAGGCTACATGGTTAGCCTGTTGGACTTTAGCTAGCAAGACCTGTGACTGCATGAGGAAGGGGAAGACAGAAATAAGAAATGTTTCCAAACAATATAAGGCGACCAGCCCAAGATTCTTCAGGAGCTTCTTTTTCCAGGAAGAAGGCAGCAAGCTGGCTGTAGATTTTCAAGTTGTAGTTGATGAGTAGAATGGAACCAGGTGTTCTGCTTATAATTGCTAATTTTAGGTTGTCTTAACCTAGTTCCTGTGCCATTTAAGGAGGTAGTTCCTGTTAACTGTGGAGTAGGGAATAGTTCTGTTGGAAGGCACTGACAGCAGGTCATAACAGTAAAAAACATACAAGTGACAAAGGCTTTCTGAGTAGATGAATCCAGGTATGGGTTTTGCAAAGGCACAGTCTTGCTTCGTGTCAACAAATGTATGAAAGCTCTTTGTGTGGGAGACGTGTAAAATGGAGACACTCATAAATACTTTCAGAGTATTGAATATTTCTGGCATATTCTGTAATATGTTATGTTGTGTGATGGTTCTCACAGAGGTGGGGCGGGAGAGAGAGAGCCTGTCCTGCAGAGACAGTTCTTGTCTTTTTGTATGGCACTTCACATCAGACTCATTCTGTGAAACGCAGGAAATTTCACATACGTAAAATAACAGGGCTACACTACTGTGCTCCTATATGTCTAATAACGTGCAGCACAATGGTGAATTGCAGCTTGTTCAGCAGACCACACTTGTCTTCCTCATTGCATTCGAAACTATGAGACTGCTGTGCAATGAGGAGTACAAGACTTGACCTCTTAACTGAGATTTACACTGCTAGATTTGTGCCAGGAGGTGTCAATAATAATATTCAGCCATCACCTCTAAATACATTATATAATGACTTTGGAAATTACTATCATTTGATATAGTGGTGGCCACTAACTTAGATTTTTTTTAAAGGATTAGATGAATTCAGAGAGTTCTATCAACAGGTATCATCCTACATATTAATAGCGAACTTAGGTGGTCTGAGTGTTCCTCCTTGTGTTGCCAAAATATCAATATTCTTCCCTTATATTAGGGGTTGGAAATGTGAAGGTTGTGGGACTCTTGCAGTCCCTCTAGGCCCCAACTACCTCACCTTCATGCCCCTGGCCCTCCATTTTGAAAAGAAAACAAAAAAAAATCTTTAAAAACACCACTTATGTACTCTAGGAAGTGTTGGGGTCAATTTTGCCATATTTTGAGGGGCACCAACACTCATGGGACCCCAGATTCCCCAATTTAAGAAAGCATGATGGATCTTTTTCAGTAATTCTCCCCCATTTATGTAAAAGAAAATGGGGAAGGAGCAGGAGCGAATACTGTCCCATAAGTTCCAGGGATGTGCTTGTGCAGTTGCTAGACATGCACCTGGAGTGTATCCTGCCCTAAAGGGAGGTTCAAGCAGGCTTTAAGGAAACTCCACTGTTAGGAGTATAGTAAATCTTTGGAGGAAAACGTCCCGTTTTCCCCTCATTTCTCTCTTGCCAGAAGTTGGATATCATCAGCATTATTTTTACTCTAGATCAAGCACCTTTAAACAGTGAAGTTGTTTTGCATTCAAACCGGTTCCTCAGACTCTTCAGCCAGTATGTGCTCCTCATACTTACTTCCTTGTTTTACTTTGAATAGTCAAAATCTACATTTTCATTCCCCATTATCATTGTCCCAGCTTTCTGCATTTTATGTGTTTTATGTTTTCTTATTCTTTATTCATTTAATCTTAATTCTCTTCAGTGCCCACCTACTTGATCGAAGAAATCTTTAGCATCTTCTAGTAACTCAATTTTTCAACTGCATCTATTTTATTTGATAATAGCCTATGTTAAAGTTCATCATTCTTTGCTGTGTTAGAAAAATACATAATACTGTCCAATTCTAAATGCCAAAGCTTTCGTTGCATATTCTTCATTTTAGGAAAGCTACTCCAAACCATCTCTATTCTGAGTTTTATAGCAGGACTTTGTTCCCACTGTTCGTTCAACCGAATGCCGAAGTACTTTTATTTACAAACATTCCATATTTACATTTTGGATGTTTAATTGATTTGTTTTGTGCTGTATGCTTTTTACTGATTACCATGAACTTGATTTTCTTGTCATTTATGTCTTATCTCACTGACTTGGAAAAGTCCTAAGAGGGAGGGGGAAGCTCAAACAATCCATTGAGGACTGAGCATGTTCAGTGGACTTGGGATACTTACTGATGGTTGGAGAGGGTACAAAAATAGAAAAATAGGTGAGAGAATGAAGTGGCTGGAAACCTGAGCGCCCTGGTTTCCACACTGAAACATTTCTCCCAGTCCCAATTTGTTACTTTTAACAGCTTAATTGGATCTTCAGACAACTTATATCAGAATAATAAATTTTAGGGATAAACTGCATGCTTTGATTATGGGTTCTTGTAGCCATCTGGCTGATCATTGTTGTCAAAAGTAATTCTCAGTTTATATGGTCACACTGTTTGGCTAAAAATGCTTTTAGCCCTAATCTGTAAACACTGATAGTCCAAAGGAATGATTGATAGATAGGACTCCTGGCAGATTAAACCACTCTGTGGTGAAAGGGGAATAGAAGGGGAGAAACCGCAGATTCTGCTAGGCTTAGGAAGATGACCTCCACTCTAAAATTTAATGGCTATTTCCTTTTTACATTTAATTAATATTAAACAGTAGGTTAGTAACAGTCCTGTGTTACCTGTATGAAACTTATCATGTAGTTCTGTTGCCTCACATCTGTGTCTTGTCTACAAGTGGTCCTCTGATATATGATGTCTCACATTTTCTGAAAACACAAAATTTATCCTAGTGTGAGCACCAATTTGTGTGGCAAACATGACATGAAAGGAATCACTTCAAGCTTGGAGGATTTTGATATATTTGCTGCCTGTTTTTCTTCTCCCCAGCAACCATGAAAACTGTGTATTTCTTACTCACTGTCATCTTCATCCCATGGGGATTTTCTTTGGCCAAGTTTGATGAATTTGATGATGGAGATGACATTGTTGAATATGACGATAATGACTTTGCTGAATTTGAAGATGTGATTGAAGATCTTGCCACAGAATCTCCTCAGCGGATTGTCATGACTGAAGACGATGAGGAGGAGGCCACAGTCGAACTTGAAGGGCAAGACGAAGGTCTTGACTTTGAGGATGCTGATGCTCAGGTGAGGCTGAATGAAGTGTTGTGCTTTTTCTTTATACAGACTGAAAAGGTGAGGTTGGAGGACTTGCAGTGAACCAGTGTTACCTACGGGTGATCCCAGATTTTACATGGAATGTATGATTTATCATCATCATTCTATTACTGCAGTGCTGGAAGGAACCATATGGATAATCAAATCCAGCCCCCCTCAAGGAGGCACAGTGGGGGATTGAACTCCCAACCTCTGGCTTTGCAGCCAGATGCCTATATTGCTGAGCTGTCTAGCAGTTCTAGGTTGAGTAGAGAATATATTTGTAATATACTGAAAAGCCTCGTGGTTAAACCACTGTACTGCAGCCAAAACTGTGCTCACGACCTGGGGTTCAATCCCAGGTAGCCGGCTCAAGGTTGACTCGGCCTTCTATCCTTCCGAGGTCGTTAAAATGAGTACCCAGCTCGCTGGGAGGGGGCAATGTGTAGCCTGCATAATTAACTTGTAAACCGCCCAGAGAGTGCTTGGAGCACTATGGGGCAGTATATAAGCAGCACATTTTGCTTTGCTTTAATTAAGCATCTGTACTGTTTTTCACGAACTGATCTGAAGTGGTATACAAAGATAGAAAGCTTGAAGTATGTCAGAATAGTTTGAAAAAGAAACAAAAACAATTGTTACATAAAACAAATTGTATAAAATCAATCAGCCAATGACTGCAAAGGATTCTTGAGACAGAAGTCTTGAATTGCCCACAGAAGAGTAGAAAGAAGGAGTCCATGGAACTTGGAGGCATGTTTTCACTTACCTTCCTAGACTTGGGAGAGCTCTTGCATTAACTTCTTAAGTAAAGCATTTTTTCTTTATATTGTTTACAGAAACTTTCAGTGTAGATTAATTATGTCTCTTTTTTTTTTTTTACATTTTCTTGATATTGAAAAGAAAAAAAAATATCCGATATTTCTCCTGCCGGAACAACCATGTTTTTAATTGCTTTTTTTAATTTTTTCTTTATATTGTTTACAGAAACTTTCAGTGTAGATTAATTATGTCTCTTTTTCAAAAACAAAAACAAAGAAGGGGGGTCAAGAGGAGAATGATGGAAAGGCCTGCCGGAACAACCATGTTTTTAAGTGCTTTTTTTAATTTTTTCTTTATATTGTTTACAGAAACTTTCAGCGTAGATTAACTATGTCTCTCTCTCTCTCTCTCTCTCTCTTTTTTTTACATTTTCTTGATATTGAAAAGAAAAAATATATATTTATCCGATATTTCTTTGGGTTGTGTAAGGGGCTTAGGTTGATGTGGTCTTTGACCTAGCTAGATGAACTGCACACTGGAACAGAACAATCTGGGTTACCAAAATATTGAAGGGAAAGAAACAGTAAGTGATTGCTGGATTATATAGCAGGAACTTTAACACTACATGTCAAGCTATTCTGAAAAATTCAGAAAATGAGCTAAAGTATTTGTTGTTTAAATCTATGCTCAGTGCCCAGGTCAGAGGCCAGTTTGGAGCCTGACATTTACAGCTTTGGCTTCTCTAAAAGGAGAGTAATTTACAAGCGTAATAAAGTTGTGATCCAGTGTAAATCCTCCCTCTTAAAGACATTTCCAATAGTAGCCCTAACAAAAAGAATCTTGTTTTACTGAAACAATTGCTGCTGTTCTGTCTTTCGCATTTTTGTTGTAGGAAGGTGATACAGAGAGTGAACCATACGATGATGAAGAGTTTGAAGGTTATGAGGAGAAACCTGATGCAACTCCTGGTAGAAATAAAGACCCTATTACCATTGTTGATGTAAGTGCACATGATGAAAAATTTCTGTATTGTCTTTGATTATAACACATTGCAATAGTTCCAACCTTAATCTGTTGTTGCTGCAGTTCTTATGCCTATCTGCCTGTGAGTAAATCTTGTTGAACTGAGAGTTGGGTACTTCTAAGTAAGGATGTTTAGGATTGCATTTTTAGTCTTATCATATAAGACTAAGCTCATGTTCTGTACAAAATTCTTCTCATAGCTAAGTAACAGTTATTTCATCAAGGAATCTTGTTTGTCAACTTTGTGTCACTCTCCTTGTTTTATTAAAATACCATGAAATGTTCTGTGATATCACAGTAGCTAATGTATGACATCCAAGTTTTGACTAGTGCGTAACAATACATAAATTTGTTAAAAATGTATGGCTAGAAGGGAGCAAAGGGTTCACTTCTAAGTGAATACTTTGACATATGGCAGAACCATCCTTAGTATGCCCCTTACAGCTAAATCAACACAATCTAAAACAGCGCTAAAAGCAATAGCAATAATTTGAACCATTTCACAAATGGAATGATTCTCTGCTTCTCTGTTAAGCTACAATCTTCTCTTTTCCAGACATATTTTTTTCAAATCAAGTCTTTTTGGAATGCTTGTGATAGTACATGCTTTGTTCAAACAGAGGAGAACACATTATATCATAATCTTGGGTCATTGTGTTATAGTGTATTGTCCTGTGTTTGAATAAGATACTGATACTGCATTCAGTTCCTTTCTCAGGTCTAAAGTTAGCCTTGGAGGCTCAAGGAAAGTTGAAACAATCCTTCACCCATTATTGGTTAATAGGAGACACTAAAGCTATATAGAGGGAGAGGAAAACACCTAGTCTGCTGAAAAGATGAAATAAAATAAGGGAATGAGGTCTGCGAGAAGAGGGGAGTGTGCTGATATGCTGTTCTCTCTATGCTTTGAATTTAGTGAACTGGTACTTAACATAATGAGGTTAAAAGATGTATTATAACCAATAGCCAGAGTTTTTGTTGGGAAAGCTGGGTTTTTCCTCCCCAAACTGAAGTAGCTTAACTAAATCCAAATTCAACAGGTCCCTGCCCACCTCCAGAACAGCTGGGAAAGTTACTACATGGAAATCTTAATGGTGACGGGCTTACTTGCTTACATCATGAACTATATCATTGGGAAGAATAAGAACAACCGTCTGGCTCAGGCCTGGTTCAATAGTCACCGGGAGCTCCTTGAAAGCAACTTTGCCCTTGTTGGTAAGTTGGTCTGTGAGTTCTTCAGTATGTCCACCCTCTGCCTTCCTCATCCTAGCCCATGAGCTCAAAGTTAAAGGACAGTATCTGAGGTCTGTTAAGAGTCTGCATTTATCAGTGTTGTGTAGTAGGGCAGCTTATTCAGGGAGGTGGAAGAGAAGGGACAGCTGAGCTGAACAAAATCTGCCAAGTTTTTCAACTTCCTCCATAAGCATTCATTTATTTGAGCTGAGAAATCCAGTAGGTCTACAGGCGATCAACCAGAACTGAATTTAGAGGGACAATCAGGTTGGTATTCTATTCAGAGAGAGGTATGTCCAGAGCTAAATAGAAGGAAAAACAGAAGACTTGTAAAACTGGAAATTGCAGAATCCAGAGGGAACACAGAATAGAAATAATTGAAAGAAGAGGGGACATTACTTCCATGAAAGCCACAGAAATTTTCAAAGTGGAGGCTGTGACAAACCCAGACCTACTGGGATATGCCACAGTTTCACTAAGCTGCCACCAACCATTCCCTATAAGAAGTCACACAGACCAGGGATGGATTTTTAACAAATAAAGGAATAAGGTTTATTTAAACAACACACAGGGAAAATAAAATGATCAGGTGAATAAGATACAGTAACGTGGCTTAGTCTCAATCATACATACACACAGTTTGGTTCACACAGAACACTTAACTTGAAGCACAGACCCTGAACCTATCAGTTCTGGCTAACCATACAGACACCTGAACCTATCAGGTTGGTACTGACTGACACACAGTAGTACCCTGTCTGACACACAGACTCCCACTCAAGCTTCTTCTCTCAGCTTTTCCAACTTCTCCTAGCTTCACCACACAGGCTTCACATATATATACAGTACAGCCCCTCCTCCTGATGTCCCGCCTTCCACTCCCCATAGGATGGAACTTTCCCTCCAAACCCATGACAGACAGGTAACATCAGTGCTGTATGTAACAGAGGCAAAGAAGAGTGAAAGTGGGCAGCGTGAAATGCCAAGAGACACAGCGATAATTAGGCAAGCAATTTTTACCGTAGATAAGAGCACAAGAGTCTCCAGTATGTAGTGAGATGGAAAAACAGTCTAGATAGGGAGGTCAGAAGAGAATGTGGAAGAGAGAATAAGGGAAGATTGAAGGCATCTTAGTCACAGAGGATATCAACATGAATGTTAAGTTACCAAGGAGGAAAGGATTTGTCTTAGAGAGAAGAAGCTCAGCTGACAATTGACTTAGGTAGTGTGGTATAGCATCTCTGTACAGAGAGAAGTAGAAGTGTGCTAAATGAACTTTAATGTTTAGAGACAGAGTGGAGTTTGGAGGTTGAATGGAGGCAGAATTTGGCAAGGTGACCACTGTGGCCTTCAGGATGCGCAGAAGGAGAAACATAGCCCCCTCCCCTCTATTCAGCACTGGTTAGGCCTCACTTTGAGTATTGTGTCCAGTTCTGGACACCACGCTTCAAGAAGGATGCTAACAAATTGGAACAAGTTCAGAGGAGGGCAACAGTGATTGGAAACCAAGCCTTATGAGGAAAGGCTGAAAGAATTGAGCATGTTAGCCTTGAGAAAAAAAAGAACGAGGGGTGATATGATGGCACTTTTCAAATATTTGAAAGGCTGTCATACAGAGCAAGGGCAGGATGTGTTCTCGATCATCCCTGAGTGCAGGACATGCAACAATGGGCTCAGAGGAACCCAGATTTCGGTTGAATATCGGGAAAAACTTCCTAACTGTTAGAACAGTATGACAGTGGAAGCAAGTTATATCAGGAGTTGGTGAGTGTTCCAACACTGGAGACATTCAAGAAAAACTTTGTAGGCCCCTTCCAATTCCACTTTTCTTTGATTTCTATGATTCTCTGAAGAGAAAAAGGATTGACCACATTTGCTTAAAACTTGTTTCATTGGGCATAGCTAACCCAATTCCAAGGGTTTAATGTGTATACTGTGGTAACTCTTGCCTACTGTTCACTCTAAGCTGTTTGAATTGTAACACCTTGCACCATCTCTGGTCCGAAATATTGCTATACTAATAGAGTCCACTGTGGAGACGAACAGCAGAAAGGGGTTTGCATATTAGCTTACCTCTGAAAGGTGTACCAGTTTGCTTTTCCCATGCTGGCTTGCACTTGAGAGGCTGCTTCTTGGCATGCCCATTGGACGTGATCTGGTACTGAGTTGGCCTTCTTATGATTTAGTCTGGTCCAATTTTAACAATCATAATGGAAATTTCAGAGATGGGAGGAATTACATTTTTGGCCTGCAACTCCCATAATCTAGCAGCCATGCTGACTGAACTATTTTGGCGGCTGTAGTCCAAAAAAAGTGATGGCTCCCATTGGTGGAAAACACAGATGGAAACAATCTCTTGAATAGGGTAGCACAAGCTGTTCTACATCCTTGCCAGCACCACGGAGACACTGGAAGGCAACCGGGGGGTAGTTGTGGGTACTGATATATTGCGGTAATAATGGTTGCAGGCACTCCACTGACCCTGCCGGCAAGGAGGTTGCAGAAGTTTTGCAACAATCTAAACCTCTCGGCTGCTATTGGTGGCAGCCCTGCATAAAGCACATTGCAGTGTAGTCTGGGAATAGTCACAGACTGTTGTTAATTCAGATATATTTTCTTCCAAGGGGATGATGGCACAAATAAAGAAGCCACAAGTACCAGCAAGCTGAATCAAGAGAATGAGCATATTTATAATCTCTGGTGTTCTGGAAGAGTGTGCTGTGAAGGAATGCTTATCCAGCTCAAGGTATGAGAAACAACTTAAGAATACTCTACACTTTAAATTAGGTGTGGCTTGAAGAAAGTTCTGGCTTGACTGGTAGGTCTAAAGGCAATTTGCTGTGGGTTAGTATGTATTTCTGAATTACAGCTGTTCAAGAACAGCAAACAATGAAATTACTCCTTACCTCCATGTTAATTAGACTGCTGGTCATAATTAGTCTGGGATAATTTAAGAATGGATTTTTTTGGGTTGAAGGACTGCAACCTCAGTCACTGGTCCAAGGCAACACATGCTTTAATTCTAACTGTATGTTTCTTCTACTTGGCTCCAGTTGATAAACCTTGGTTTCTAGTAAAACAGAAAAATAGGTCATGCAAGCTTGAAGTCCACTTTGCTCAGTTTTAAATATCTGCAGATTGTAAGGTTAGGCAACAGACACTCTTTCTAAATTGGCAGAACCCCAGTACAGAACAAATGCTACACATCCTACATCGGTGTCCTTTGAATGAAGACGTTTGTGTGTGCAAGTCTGTGTATATATGCCTGTATCCCAAGTTTCTTTTAGATTTGTACTGCATTCTCCAGATACGTTAAAGAACTGGCATTCAATAAAATATTAACATCGCTGTGAAAAAGCTGATACATTCAAATAAAATAAAAATGGAAAATGAAATAGAACATGGGAACAAAAAGTTAACCATCTGAATAGCATGGGGATGGAAGCTGGAAGGCATCAGATGGAGTTCCTGGCAAGCTTTTCTGGGAAGAGCATTCAGAAGTTGGGTGACATTATAAAAACGCTCTCTTTCTGGACATCACAGAAAGCGCAGATACAGTGAAGATCTAGAAAGGGAAGTAGGCGCATGTGGAATCATACATTTTTCAGGAACTCTGACCTCAAGCCATGATAGGCAATTTTAACTGGGCTTGAACAAATAATAGGAATCAGATTGGTTGGTATGGTAGATTAATAATAATAATGATGATGTGCCTTCAAGTTAATTTTTACCTGTGACCACCCTTTTCAAGGTTTTCCTGGTAGAGAATACTAAGAAGTGGTTTAACATTCCCTTCTGTGACACCTTGCGACTGCAGCTTGCCCAAGGCCACACTGGCTGGCTCTTTTCCCTTGAGGCACAGTGGGGAATCAAACTCCTAACCATAATAGCAGGGCCCAATCATATACTAACTGTAGTTTCCAGACTATCTGCAGAGGCAGTCTGGCATATAATTTATGGCAGCAACCTAGAGGTTATCTGAGAATGTATTTATTAAACTTAGACTCTGTCTGACCAACTCGGCACAGCTTGCAGATCACACTGTGCTGGTAGAGAAACACTGAATATTGTGAAAGAAACCTAAATCTCCACTAATAGATTTGTTTTTTGATCAGTTAATACTTGGTGACTACACTTCTTCCTCATGCAGAAACTTGCAACCTGACTCTTATTTATTTCAAGCTTCATCCATGCAAGGAGAATGCAGATGGTCAAAAAGATGTGGTCTGAAGTTGCATGACCTAGCAGCTTTTTAGGCCTGATTCTGATCAGTGCTTGGCTTAGAAATGGTAGAAGTAAAAGAAGATAGAATCTCTACCAGCTGGTGGAATGTATTTCACCTTGAATTTTGTGATGGAAGATTAAAAACTTGAAAGGCTGTCATACAAAGGAGGGGCAGGATCTGTTTTTGATCATCTCAGAGTGCAAGACATGGCACAATGGGCTCAAGTTACAGGAAACCAGATTTCGGTTGAATTTCAGGAAAAACTTCCTAACTGTTAGAGCAGTACAACAGTGGAAACTATCAACTCGAGAGATGGTGAGTGCTCCAACATTGGAAGCATTCAAGAGAAACTTAGACAACCACCTGGCAGATGTTCTTTGATTTGTTTTGCTGCATCAAGCAGAATCAACGTTACTATTCTATGATTCTATAATGATGAACATCTAAAGAGAATAAAATAAAGAGTAAAATGCACTCACATGTTGTATGTTGGGAGAGCTTTGACAATTATTAAAGAGCTTTCTTCCACTTCTGCAATGTCTTCTGTCTGTGATTGATATTTGTAACACAGGATATTTCATAGTAGGCCTTGAGGGGAAGTACAGAGTCAGTTCTGATGGTATGAGGAGACTTTATGCCTTCAAGAATATGACAGGCTATGCCACATTTGGCACAGGGATTCCTCACGGTCAAATGCTCTCTTTCAGTTTCTCAAGAGACAAGATTTGCTCAATGTGCTTGCTCGTATGATGAGGCCAGCCTGTGACCAAGTGGTATGTATTGATCTGCAACCCAAGAACCGCTTTTGTGAGCTCACAGTGAGCTGACTAGTTCATTGAATCTAGAACGGGGTGGATTTTATGTTTCTGCAGCCATCTGGACCTTCTGGTTGTAAAGTTAGACTTCTGAATGTGCCACATTGGCTGTTGAAATCTCAGAAGCCAGTGGGAATCAAAGCAATTCTTTGCTTTCAGGCTTTATTACAATGTATAAGCACTTACAGGGAAATGCTCTATGGCTAAAAAATAGAATAAAAGATGCAAAGGGCATTAGCCACACATCAGATCATTTATTCAGGCTGTGGAAATCTGCTTTTCTTTGCATACAGTTCCCAAGAATTGCTTTCAGAGCTGGGTGCACAAAAAACATACTATAACACAGAATGCTAATAATATTTTCTAATTAATTCTTAGTCCTCAATCAGATAGTTATTCCAGACACATCTTCCGGTTATTGTTTGTGTGGATGTGCGGATATGTCACCTTCTCAGTACCTCCTGTTTCTTTGCCTTTAGGATTCCTTCAGGATGCATTATTTGTTTTCTGAGAATATCATATATGGCAAAATTAGGTGAAGCAATTCTTCATTTGCTGGATTGGGAAAGAAATAACGGGTCATTTCTGTTCATTTCAGTTAACTCGCAAGTGGTTTAAATAAAGCTATTGGGTCTGCTGTGTTAGTGACAAATTATGTATTAAATTGTCCAAGCAGTCATACATGTTCCTTTTCAAGGAGGCTTGGTGTTTTTTACTCTCTTAATATTGTGCTGTGAAGTAGCAGTAGTAATTTATTTCATAGTCTTACAGTGATTGTAATTTAGAGGATTTCTATTAGAGTTGGTCTTGGATAAGATCTGTTTGGAGTGCCTGAGGTGATTTTTAGTCTTGGCAGTGATATGAAACTGGTCTCCATTCATATTTTCCCCTGGTTCTTGTATTATTTGATGTTGTTGTGGAAACTTCAGAATGACTAAGATGTTCTCTCTTGCTCAGCAAATAAAAGTGACAATGAATGATGATGACATGGATACCTATGTGTTTGCTGTTGGGACAAGAAAAGCCTTGGTGCGGCTTCAGAAGGAAATGCAGGACTTGGTATGTACTGTGGTGTGGGGTGGGAGAGGGGGATGAAATCCTCTCTGAGTTAGGATAGTACGTATAAAATGTATTTAAAAACATTTATGGTACAAAACAACGTTCTCAGTATTGTGTTAATTATAAGTAGCTTCAAGCTGCCTGGTAGACAACATAATTTGGTTGTAAGAACTCTAAATTGGGTGCAGTTGCTGTATTAATTGAACAGATTTCAACACAGTGGAATGCTTCTGATCAGACCTCAGAAAAAATGCTTTTAAGACTACAGCTCCCTTAATCTTGTGGACTGACTAGTTACCTTTTTTTCTAAGTAACTTAAAAATTGTGGTTCAGGCGTACTGCCAAAACATAGTTTGATGTTGCTTCAATAAGGCTGGACGGATCCTCTGGCTCATTGTGTACTTTGTTTTCCTCTCCTGCAAATCAGGATTAAAAATCAAATTAGAAAAACCTTTATAGTGCTTGTGAAACTCTTCAGGGTTTGTTCCGTAAGCCAGTTATAAAACATATTTGTTACAACATCAGATATGTAGAAATCCCTGATGTCAAAATGCATTCAGTGAATGGTAATTTTTTAAGGAAGTAGGTTGTGCTGCAAATGTTATTTTAATTGTTTTCATATTCTGTGTGCTAAATATTTTTTCAATTTGTACTAATTAATGAAATCTTACTTAAGTAAAAAATAAAGTTGATGCACGTCTTCTTCTTTCACTCCTTACTCCAGTGTTGACCCTCAGGGTAATAGAGCTTCAGCAGCAACATTTTATAAGCCACTAGCATCTGTGCTGGTTTGAAAGAAAGAGACAGATGGGTAAAGTCAGTATAGTGCTCTGACTTAAAAGTCACAGCATAAGGAGGTGGTGAACATCTCATTGTGCCAGCAGTCAGACAACAAGGCCTTGAGAACCCATGGTCTTTTCCCAATTGAGTGTTGATTTAATTCTAGCAATTTAAAATGGAATATTAGTCACTTGTCAAGATTGTTCCTGTGGGTTTTGGCATACCAGAAATATATAACAATGGACCAAGTTGCTGGTACTTGAGAAATTGTGGGTAATGTTGGACAAGTGGATTTTATGTGGATTCTATCCAGTGTTCAGTGGCTTTTCACATGGTACAGGGTACCTGAATCACTTTCTAAGTTTTGAATAAAAGGACTGGGTACTTATTTAACCAAATATTGGCAGAACACAGAGCACGCTTGTAATGTGGCCATTTCTTTTTGACAGAGTGAGTTCTGCAGTGATAAACCGAAGACTGGGGCAAAGTATGGGCTCCCAGAGACATTGGCTATCTTGTCAGAGATGGGCGAAGTGACAGAAGGAATGATGGATACTAAGGTAAGGTGGAGTCAGCAGGAATCTCAGAGGAATCGCCACAGTGGGCTCAAGTGCCCAAATTGCATTTTACATTCTGAAGTCTCTTCTCTCATGCTATATCTCAGAATAGACTTGTTTGTTTATAAAACAAGGGAGCTTCTATCTTGGATAGTTCCAAAAAATGGAACATATGTCTTGAAGGCAAAAACAAATCCTTCTGAGTGAAAGGGTTTGATATGTTGTGGTTCTTGATCATTTGTGTGTTGTCTGGTGCTGTGGATAATGGCCTTAAACAAAGGTCTCCAGAATTCCTTCTTTTGATATAAATCCATGAAATAGTTCTGGGCAGATGAATAGTTCTCAATCCAGTGTGGCTCAGAAAACAGATTAAATGATTAACACACACACCCCTGCCAAATTGTGAACTGTTTCCACCTAGGCAAACAGTTAGAAATAATTGCAAGTAATTTGAAATTTAGTACGCTCAGTGATGGGAACTCTTGTTTTGGACAATGGCTTCCAGACTCTCAAAGGCAGTATGACCACTGCCTATTCTAGCTGCAGCAGACTTGGAGCTGAGAATCTGATAAAGAAATGCCTTCCTTCCTTCCTTCCTTCCTTCCCTCCCTCCCTCCCTACCTACCTACCTACCTACCTACCTGCCTGCCTACCTACCTGTGCACTGGGCATTGAACAAGCAAACAGAGCTTTAGCAGACTTTGAGCCCTGGATTTTCGGAGCCTCACCCATAACATTCATTAGGTAAAACATTATAATGTGTAGTTTTAGGTTAGGCCAAAAATGCAACTAGGCTTATGCACTCCTGGCACAGTAGTCAACCAGATGTTCTGGCGGAGATTCTCAAGCAGGGTATGACAGAGATGATCATCCCTTCTTCTTTATTACCACCGGCTGGTGGCATCTTGTTTGAATGAGGTTGACTTTAGATCACATATGTCATATTTCCACCTTAACTGTCTCCTAAGCTTTGTCCTTTCCCATCTGCAGAAAGGAATCATTAACATACTTGGTGGGGTGTGTTAATCTACTCTGGAAACTCACTGCCACTATTGACTGCCAGCTCAGGTGGGTGTTTGAAAATTTAAGAAGATAGACCCAAGGCTGAGGTGCCTGCAGCTGACCCAGTGTTGTTGAAGCCCAACTCTTATCAGCCCCCACTTAGCTTGCCAATGGAATAGAAGGACAGAAGCTGTAGTTCAGTAACATCTGGAGGCCCACAGAGTCCATAATGCCAGGTTAGACAAATGGAAAGAGGACAGATCAGTCAAATGCCATGAGAACTAACTGGAATTTCCAAGCCTAGAGGGAGTATACCTCTGAATACCAAGTACTAGAGATAAAACCATAATAAAGGCTTTTGGCCTTCATGCCACCTTTGTAAGCATGCCTGAAGCTACTGTTGCTAATAGCATCCTGGATCTTATCAGTAGGACTGTTTTTTGTGTTTGATCATAACATTCTTCACATGTTTAATATGGGGGAGTTTTGGGGGGAAATGCCTTCTAGCTTCTTGAGACAGCATGTACAATTTCATAAGAAACTGTAGCCCATTCAGTGCTCTAAATTCATTTCCCTTCTCCTTTGTAGATGATCCATTTCCTCACACATTATGCTGACAAGATTGAGTCCGTCCATTTTTCGGACCAGTTCTCTGGTCCAAAACTTATGCAAGAGTGAGTATGATCAAAGAAATAATTGTGCTTCCAAATTAGTGTTCTGTTAATACTTGTGAAGGGGCAATAGAAGAAGCAAAAATAGCTGAAGAAAATGAATATGGTTAGCATTTGCAATTTCTTTGTTTGTAGTCATGAACTGGAGATTCCAAAACAACTCATCCCAGGATTTATTTAGTGTGCAGCATTTGGGATTTTGGGTTGTTTTCAATACCAGAGCTTAACAACAACAGGTGGAGTGGGTTTCATGCATTTAAATAAGCATATCCAATGAGAAAACATTTGTGTCTCTCTAATTGCCCAGCTAACTACTGTGCTGTCAGAAACACTGTGCTAATTGACCTGTCTTGCATTAGGTCAGTTCTAGGGATCTTTTGGCCCTTGCCCTCATTAGTGGAGGGAATAGACTGCTATGACAGATTCCCAACTGCAGATTGAGGACAGACTTGATGCTACCATACTGTTCTTGGTAGAGTGGAAGAGTATAGAATGCTTTTTTTAAAAAATGGCCAAGACACTTCTATGAAAGCAAGAGGGAGGTTATTGGCAAATCAGATCCCTCTCAATTTTTTTAAAGTAGGGCTTGTTCTGGGAAGCATATTCACAGACAACCTGCAGAAAGATCCTTCCTTCCAAAACTTCTGCAGAAAGTTCCTGCCACTTCTGAATGCTCCAGCTTGACCTTTGACTGCAGGATACAGAAGAAAAAAAGTAGTAGCCAAAGAACAAATCAAATAGAAATATAAGGACTGTAGTAGTTTATGGTGCAACCTAGACATCAAAGCTCGAGAAAATTACTTTCAGGACTTCCGGGATTTAGTGGCCATGTTGGTTGTGGGATACTGAGAGTCATCATCCAGAATGTATATTTTCCAAGTTCTACTGGGTACTGCTCTGTTACGCTCGCATGTTCTGTTTTTTTCATATCTTTTCATTAATGCTACTTTTTCTTTTTTGTTAGGGAAGGTCAGCCTTTGAAACTGCCAGAAACTAAAAAGACCCTTTTGTTTACTTTTAATGGTAAGAATGATTTTCAAAGACTCTTTCTTTGCGCTCAAGAAAGCCTGCTCCACAACCAGGATGTGACACAAAGTATTCTGTGTAATAGTTTCTTTTGCTTTCAGTGACAAGAATCCTTTGCAGTCATCATCCAAATGCTGTAGGTGAATCATTAGGGTGCAGCATCCCAGACTCACACATGCATCTTTGACCTTATAAACAAATACATGTTGGGCAGGTTGATAACAAGGTCTTGGGAAGACTTTGTAGCAGGACCATGAATATTGATGGCTAAATCCTGGAAAAACAAAGAAATGTTATCATCAGGGAACTTAGAAGAAGAAAAAATGAAACGGGTGCTTAAAGATTTAATTATGATGTTGGTAATTCAAAATTACAGGGAGGTTGGGATGATACAATGATTCTATTGAGGATACTATCAGGAACAACTGCACATTTTGGAAGAACAAATACACCAGAGAATTACGGTAGGAGTCTGGGAAGTTCATCAGTATTGTGAACATAACTATTAAAATGTGATTTAAATCTTTATGGAAGTAAATGCCTATGATACAATGCTGATTAAAACATCTTTCCAAAAAACCAGAGCAGAAAGACTTTCTCTTAGCTATTATTTCATGTTCTTTACCACCACAGCCTTTATTTAGTAAGATGTCTTAATGAATTCAGTTATCCTTACTGCCAGGTAGGTTGATTTAGTATTTCAGCCTTAGTGATGTTTAATTTGATGAAAGTATCCTTCTGCTTTGTAGTGCCTGGATCAGGCAATACCTCCCCAAAAGACATGGAAGCTCTGCTGCCTCTGATGAACATGGTTATTTACTCCATTGACAAAGCAAAAAAGTTCCGTCTGAATAGAGAAGTAAGTAGTGTTTTTCTGTGTGTATATGTATCTTGTCGCAAACCTAATATGTACATCTGGATAGAGACGACTTTCACTGAGTGAGTTGCAGGGTATTTTCTGATGCCAAAAAGAATTTCAGTTATTGAGAGTTATTAGATTTACTGTTGTGATTACTGTTGTGATTAGGGTTTCACATACTTTTCTTGTGTTTTGCTATCTCATATACTAAATGTTATACTCATACTTACTTACTTGCCTTCTCCTTACCTTGGACCACAGGGCAAACAAAAAGCTGACAAGAACAGGGCGCGTGTGGAAGAGAACTTCCTGAAACTGACTCACGTGCAAAGGCAAGAGGCTGCTCAGTCCCGCAGAGAAGAGAAGAAACGGGCAGAGAAAGAGAGAATCATGAACGAGGAAGATCCAGAGAAGCAGCGCCGTTTGGAGGTAAATGTTCCTTTAGAAATGAATTTATTAGGGTTTAGTGAAAGGTGAGTGATAGAGTGATGGACTAGGACTCTGGAAACCAGGGTTCAATTCCCTCTTGGCCATGGAAACTCGCTAGGTGAGTAGAACGGGTAAAATAATTCCTTAAATGTCTCACTTACCTTGAAAGCCCTATTAGGCTCCCATTAAGTTGGTTCCGACTTGATAGCACATAACAACAACCACTGTGAAAAGTGAACTCTTGCCAAAAACAACAGACCTGGGAAACTGCTCTGATTGCAACAATGTCATTTTCTAAGGTCTCTGTAATAATAAAATCAGCATTTTAATGTTGTCTGTACATCCTTGTTAGTGTAAAATGCAGTAGGGCATTTATCTTTCCTACCTTTTGCTCTGCTTAGCAAGGGAATGGCAGGGGGATCAATTTCTGCTTGTGCTTGTTGCAGAAATAATAGTGCAAAGTGGATGCGAAACAGACAAATCCATGTGAAAGCCATCAGTACCAACGTTTAAGGCAGTGTGATTTACTGTCTGCATGAAGCTATGTACATAGAAAGTTGTCAAAGCTCCTCTCTGACCTTTTCCCCAAACTTGAATTGATCAGGTCAGGGGTCAGAATACAGATGCCTGGTCATCTTTTAAGAAGTTGCATTAACCCTTCTTTTCTGGCTGAAGAAATGGGATTTAACCTTTTGTGAAATTGTTTTCTATGTAACCAGAACTGAAGTTTATGAAACAACTTTTTAATTTTCCCCGGCCCTAAGATCTTAGGGATGGATTATTGGATCCCACAAAACAACGCAGTTGCATGAAAGAGCCATTCATCTGTGTAATTAGCTTAAATTTCCTCAGTGTCTTTTGTTTGTTTGTTTGTTTCCTGAATTTATTTTTCTTCTGCAAAGAAACATGGAATCTGATAATCACACTTGTCATCTTTCCAATAGGAGGCTGCTCTGCGGCGCGAACAGAAGAAGCTTGAGAAGAAGCAAATGAAAATGAAGCAAATCAAAGTGAAAGCCATGTAAAAAAATGAAGTAGCAAGAAGCTTATTTCTTGGTGCCAACCACAGAATTGCAGTGTGCTGCCTACAATGCGCTAATTATAACCATGATTTTAATTAAGAACCACTTTTGACACTACCCTTTGTTGCTTGTGGGATTATGTGTGAAGTGTTTCTGTACATGTGAAAAGGTTAGGACGCCAAGGAACTCATTTTGAGTCAGTCATGAGATTGTTTCTCAAAAAGCTGCACTGGTAATTAATTCTGATACAACTTTCTCACATGCATGTATGCACGGAAGTGCATCAAAAATGATTCATTCAACACTAAAAATGTCATTTCGGTCAGCAACTATAGAGATTATTTGCATCAGTACTCCCAATGTGTAGGATACAATCTTGAAACCACTCCAGCCTTTGGTCAGTGGCAATGCTAACAGATATTTTCAGGGTTACAGCTACTGTTCCGAATTAATGTGACATCCAAATCTGTATCTTGAAAGCTTTGCAGTGGTCTTCCATGTTGTTGGATTGGGTTTCTCTCTCTATGTGCTTTGGTTGGCATTTCAGAAATTTGCAATATTTCTTGGGATCCTTTCACTTATTTCCTATGTATATATAACTTCTGGGAATGTGCCAGCAATGCATATGCACTTTGATTCTATTTTGGGGATGTGGGAAGAATAAAGAATTTTATATTGGCCAAGATTTAAAAATTACATTAGCCCTAACCTTCACAGAATTAAAAATAAAATAAAATCAACAGTGTAGTTGATTAGTACAACCAGCACACTCGCCAATCAAGCAGAAACATTAAATATGTATGTTATGGATAGTTCTAGGTTTCAAAATAGTTGTAGGTGGTGGGAGAAATGGTTCATTCTTTAATAGTGCTTGCAGTAGAAGGGTGCTAAATCAGTATTATTTAAAGACTTGTGCGGTCCCTCGCATCATGTATTCCAGAATCAGGCCAGAGAAAGAAGCTGCTAAGTGTGCTTTAGGGCAAGCAGACTAGAAATCAGCCTGTAGGTTACATATTGCATAGACCATAGTAAGCCTGCATGTGGATAAATGTTTTTGTTCAGTCTTCAGAGTATCTGCTCCTGCAAATAAGTGGTCAATGTTGTTGGTGTATAAGCAGCTGGGAAATGACAGATGCAAAACCATTTTTCCTGCCAATATACTTTAAATTTCATTACTGCATATTTGAAACAGCAGGAAACCCAATATCAGTAATGGTGAACCTTTTTGATCCCGAGTGCAAATAAATAAATAAATAAAATTTTAAAACTGCACTAACCCAGCAGGTGGCAGCGGAGGCAGAAGTGGCAGCAGAAGACTAATCCCTGGCATGGAAGTACTTTCAGACCCCACTCCGGATCTGCCCATCTCCGTCACTACCTATAGCTCGGCCGGCGTGCCTAGGCCAGCACCAGCTGCTCTGAATCCTGGCCCGCCTCCTCCTCAGGTTTGGCTGCCAGGGGTAGCAATCCAGCAACTTATGGCTCACGTGCCCACAGAGAGGGTTCTGCGTGCCATCTGTGGTACACGTGCCATAGGTTTGCCACCGCTGCCCTATAGCCTGAATCCAGTTGGTAGTCTCAGCTAGAGTTAAACCCATTGAATCAATGGGATTTACATAAGCATTGACTCTCCATTCAGCAGTTAATCCAGTTGGTCTTCTCTAGTTAAGAGTAACAATTGGACTTAGGCCTTTGTGCGTGCATGTGCATGTATGCAGGCTGTTGCATGAAGATCTCTGAAATCAGGCATTTGGTTCTTCATGCTTCACCTCTGTCACTGCAGATCATCTAATATCCACCCACACAGCTGGTTTGTGTGTACCTGCTTTGTGCATTTAGATCTGTTGTACCCATTTGCCTGCATAGATGGTGTTCGCTGGTTTTGGTGGGTGCATTTGTTGGGATTAATTTCTTTTTCAGATAGATGCTTAATTGTTTTTAGCCACTTTCCTCCTTATTTCAGAGTGTTTTTCTAACGGTGTCATTTTCCTTCATTGTTTCTGTGGCTGCTACCTAGATAACTGTTGACAAGGAGCTAGGGTTGAAATAATTGTGCAATTATTTCCCTGGTAAAGTAAAATAATTTTTAGAAGAGAGTATCTTTTTTGTATCTGTTTAAGGTTATTTACGAAGGAGTTTGCGTGTGTTGGGAAAACGGGAACTGGAGCTACTCCCATTTTGCAGTCTTGTGGAATTGCTGCATTTTATAAATGCGCATCTAGATGGCATTGGATTGTTGTGTGTAAATGGGCACTTTCTGCAAAGGGTTTAATGGGAAGAAACATAAGGGTGAAATTTGTTTCTTAATGTATTTTCTTGATGATGCTTTTATCTGCAAATATCTCTGATGCAATAACATTAAGCTGCTCTTTAAAACAGCATGTGCTAAAACCTATTTGTCGGAGCATGAAAATGCAGTTTCTTTCTGAATGCAAAAACCTTCAGCCTGAAAAGACATTTGAATTTAGTAATTTTTATATAACTATCATTTATGGTACTTTACAGCAGAAATGGCAATCCTATGTGGGATTCAAACTATTTTGTCACTAGATGTAGAAAGTAAGATTGAATAAAGTATTGTTTCACAGAATCTTCTTTTCAATAAATGTATAAGTGCTTTATTATATTTTCTTTTGACTTAAATAAGAGAAGAAAATGTTACTGAACTCTCAAAGGAATTGAGACAATGGAAGCTGTGTTGTGTAAAAGAAACATTTACGAGAACTGTCTAAGAAAAGATGAATGGTTAAACATGCTTGATCTTTTTCTCATTGTTTTTCGTTTTTAGCTTTATTACTGAATCCGTTCTTTATTTTCATTCCAGAGTTCATGAACTGTCCTTCCTCTACAAAGAAGGACTTAGAACTAGTTAACTTTCTCCAGATGGTGCACACAAGGCACCAAAAAGGATGGCTTGTGTCCTTATCACCACCCAGGAGAGGCAAGGTCGTGTGAGGTGTGACCAACAAAACAATCTCCCCCCCCCACCTTTGGAAGTACAACCCCCAGAACCAGCACAGTTACAAACAAACACGGAGAGCAAAACAAAAATCTAATACACTGACAGCATATGTATTGTGTGACCTTATACTTTCTTTCTCTCTCTTTTTGTTCCAAAATCAGGAAATACCTTTACTGGCTTATTTAAAGTACAGTCTGTTCAGAAGATTATGTTTCGCAGAGATATCTTGGCTCTGTAGTTGTTTTTAGAAATTTGGATAATCTTCGGGCCCAGTTTGCTTTATAACCTGATCCTATATACATTTAGTCTCAGCAGTGACCCACTCGATTCACTTGCACTGCCCAAAGCAGGATTCTAGCCTTCCAGCAGTTTATATCTTGATTATCCCACAGTGTCCTGCTAAAGCTTGGGTGTGGGTGGTAAAACATTATATACAAAGGACTGGTATATCTACCGTTCTTAGTTTACTGCTTTCAGTTAATGTTCTGATGCTAATCTAGTTTTGTCTTCCCATCCTCTGTTGTTTTTCTCATTTTCTGTTTTAGATTGTAAGGACCTTTCATGAGAAATCTGTTTTTCTTACATGACTGTGTTGAATTAACAATTATAGTTTCATAGCTATAGGTTTTTCTGTAGCTATTGTGCTCTTTTTTTTGTTCACACTAAATACAGTATTATCCCATAAGTGCCAACTATCCCTATTTTCTGATACTTGTTCTTGTTTTTTAACATGGCTTGTTAGGATCCAGGCAGGCCCAAGATATTTTACAGCCTGAGCGGGGGGAAATATGTAGTTTAGTTGTATGTAGGACCCGCTATGTACCACAAAGAGCTCTACCATCCAATACTCCACTATTCCTTTCCATTCCCTAGTATATGACTTCTGAATCACCCATCCCCTTCTGCCTAACCAAATGCAAACTGAAAGAGGAAAAAAGGAAATTCAAATTTTAAGCAAGGAACACCTTACTCCAACACATCCAGTTGAAGAGACATTGGTCTTCTCATCTCTTTCCTATTAGAGGCTGGATGTCATTGTGGCCATTCTGACCATGCATGCAACAACCCTTAAAACAATGATACTGTGTTGTATCCAGACCAATAATTGATTATTCTTCCTGCACTGCTTCTTCCATTCATTTTACGTGTATGATCAGCGGTAACAATCTGTCACAGATTGCTACAAATACCATCTCCATCTGCAGCTCTTGGAAACTTCTGTTTAAAATTTCTAAGGGCCCAACCCTTGGATCTCTATCCTTCAGGATCAAGAGAAAGAGGAGAGTTTTTTTTCTTATGTCCAAATGGGAATGCCACTAGTTTGATGTTTTCTTGATAAATCGGCAATGCTGATCATGTGAGCCCTGTCGGTAATTCACCTCTTGTGAGATAAAGAGGTAGAATCAGTAGGAAATCAGTATAGTGTCAGGTCTGTGATTATTGTAATCGAGTTTACATCTGATTGCCTCCTAACAAACCTATTTATCTCCATTAAAAAACAGCAACCTCTCAAAAGTATCATAGCAACTGCCCTGCCAGACCAAAAGTATTGTCCTGTGGATCATAAATACTTCTGCATGGGCTGCTGTCAGGCTGTTTTGTTTTTTTCTTTTAAGCTCATAAATGATAAGTACTATCTCCAAACGAACATCTATTAACTATCTTAGTTAATGATGTGGAGCCATTTACCTACTTTTTAGAGCTCATAAATGATAAGTACTATCTCCAAACGAACATCTATTAACTATCTTAGTTAATGATGTGGAGCCATTTACCTACTTTTTAGGTCAAGAATGAAATATTAGAAGATGTTGGAGAACTAATTGCCATTCAAAGCACTATTTATGTCACAGAATCCTGGTCCAATTTCAGAAAATGTTAGCACTAAAATAAATCTTTACTACTTTTTCTCATCCTGACTTAGGGCACAGTCCTAACTAGATAGGATGGCCTTAGGCTGACTGAATCAGACTCTCACAATTAAAAGGGAGATGCCTGTTAAAGGTACAGTGTGCTATTTCCCCCAAATACAAGTCCTTTCTGCAGCTGCTATGAAACCGATTGCAACACCAGTTTGTGCCGTAGAAAGCTAAGCCCCTCCTAGTGCATCTGGGTGCAGTCAGAGTGCCCCCATGACATCTGCCTTTCATTTAAACATCCACCCACCCCACTGTCTGAGAGAATCACAGGAGGCAGCCAAAGAAAACTTCTGTTTATTGAGCTATAAGATGGCCTTGCATTACTCCCTCTTCCGCCTGCCCTAGCTCATGAGTGGCAAGGTTAGTGACTTATAGGCATCCTTCAGTCTCGAAAGACTATGGTAATGTGCTCTGTATGGAGAACTTTAAACAGCATCTAGTGTGGCTGAGAAGGCCAATTCGAGAGTGACAGTCCCTTCCACACTGAAGACAAATCCAGTCTGTCCCCTCTCTGGCTCCCTGCTTTTGCTGCTTTTGTGACTTCCTCTTTGCCTCGGCCTGCTGGGCAAGGGTCTCTTCAAATTGGGAGAGGCCGTGATGCAGTGCCTGCCTCCAGGCTGAACGCTCAGATGTCAGGTTTTCCCATCTGTTGAGGTCTATTCCTAAGGCCTTGCAGATGTCCTTGTATCGCAGTTGTGGTCTCCCTCTGGGGCGCTTTCCCTGCACTAATTCTCCATACAGGAGATCCTTTGGAATCCGACCATCAGCCATTCTCACGACGTGCCCGAGCCAACGTAGACGTCGCTGCTTCAGTAATGTATTCATGCTGAAAATTCCAGCTCGTTCTAGGACTACACTGTTTGGAACTTTGTCCTGCCAGGTGATACCAAAAATCTGTCGGAGGCAACGCATATGGAAGGTGCCAGTGATATCTTGTCCCCCCCTTACCTCCTGACTGATGATTAGGGCACCAGCCTGTATCCATGCCAGTGTCTTCCCAGCCCCTTCAGCCTCATGAGTCATCCCATTCAGACAGCTCATGATTGGCAAACCATGCATTCCTTCCCACCCTTCCCATCATTATCAATGAAAATAGAGTTTGTGTCCCTCCCTTTTTCCTGCAATATCCTTCCCTAGGAGCATGGCCCTGAGCTACCTTGTCTAATAAAGAAACTTGACTCAGAGTTGTTGTACATAGCAACAATTTTATTGAGCAGGTATCTTTCCTCAGAAGCACCCTTGTATTTTAGACAATGAGTAAACAGACAGCAGAGAGACATGTGCAAAGTGCTTTTGTGTAGCTGTGCTACAGATGATGCATAACTGACCAGACCAGCTGCAGGACTCCGGCAGTTCAGTGGCTGCAGTCACACATGGCTGGGTGCTTTTGGAGCTGCACCTGTAGCACAGCTGGCTGTTAATTCAAGATCCGGATCAAGGTGCGTGTACCTGCGAAAACCATCCTTGAGCCTCGTCAGGAATTCATTTAGGTATTCCGTGAGGTTTTTTTTTAACAATCTCATATAATCTGTGAAGGTTTCACAGCCTTTGGCACTCCTAGTTTGAGGCCATGAATTACAGCATTTCTTGCTGCTTTCAGCAGGCGGGGCCCAGCAAGCTTATTAGGATTGGGATCAGTAACTCGGGTTATGAGGGCTGCTGCTTCAGGCCAATCAACTGTTCCATTGCCTTCGGCTATTTGAGGAACCCTATGAGTAGTATACCAGGCGTAGGTCTTAGCATGAGCCTGGCATTTCTTATCTTCGCTTAGGAGGCTGCTCTGTAGGTGGTGAGTAGTAATGATCCCTTGGATCAAGTCCAGGTACTTCTGAACAGCCTCGCGATATGGTGGAAGATCTTGTTTCCAGGTAAATGAATCAGCAGTGGGGAATGGGGTATGGGCCAGAACTAATTTATTTCCCATTGGAAGCTCCATTAAGGGGAGAACTTTCTCCACAGGTTTAGGTGTAAAGCGATCTGGGGGTACCCCCTTTGTGGTTTTATTTTAGACATTCTGACTGCCATTTCTAAGTTGTTGACAAAACTGTTTGAAGCCCCCATATACAGATGTTGACTGCACTAGCAGTCAGTCTCTAGCAGGAGTGATGCTCCAGCATTCTGCCCTACACCTGAAGGTAGCAGAGCAGTTTATGAGTCCAGGGGCTACATGGTACATAGAGCCCTCATAACACCTTATTTATTTATTTACAATATTTTTTTAGCCACACCATTACCAGTGGTCTCTGAGCAGCGTGCAACAATATTAAAACTAAAAGCATGAAAACCATTTAAAATATTATAATAATATTCTATATTAAAAAATATTGCCACAGTGCAATATTCTAAAACACCATGTTTCATTCATAAAATAATCTGTGAAGGCTGGAACAACTAAATAAGGGACTGGATTTTTCACCTTCGATCTGGTAAGGCTTTTTTAGTGCAGTGATATAAAGTAAATTTAAAAGCAAATTAAAAATTAATTTAATTCTTAAAAATCTCCTTTCAGTGTAAAAGTAATCAAATTGGATTTATTTTATTTATGAACGGTTAGTGATATATTGATCTTTTCCCGTTAAGCTTTCCACCTCCAGGCGAGCCCGCCCGGTTGTTTTGGGGTGGCAGCTCAGCCGATGGCCCCCAATTTCGCCTTGAATGCACCGTTGTCTGGTTCTGGGGCAGGCGACCGTGTTTGGGAACTGCCGCCAA